TCCATCTCTGCTTGTACAAAGTTCTTGGACACGAGCAATTGGCCAGTTCACTCTTTTAAGGTTCTCACAACCTATTAGCACGATGTCTCCAACTTTTAATTCACAGTCCGTCTGTCCATGCTTTTGTACTAACTGTCCAAGGTACTCCTTGCGGAAACGGCTACGAAATTGTTCTCGAAGTTCCTGGCAGAAACGCTGACGAGCCAAGAGTTTATTTCGATCTAAAGCATCCAAATCTGCTGTACCTGAAACCTTAATGTCCTGTAAGAACATGGAAGGCGTTAATGGTAGAAGATCCTCAGAGTCATTTGACACATAAGTAAGTGGTCGACAGTTTATTACGGCTTCCACATCACAGATGACGGTGAGTAACTCTTCGTAATTGACTGCAGCTTGTCCTAAGACTCTCACAATCAAATTCTTGGCTGTGCGGATTAGACGCTCCCACCATCCGCCCCACCAAGCAGCAGTGGGCGGAATGAACTTCCAAGTGATGGGATGCAAAGTTTCCTGAGCAATTACCTTTACCCAGTCAACCTTTTTCAGCAATGCAGATGTACCGACGAAATTTTGTGCCGTTGTCTGAATAAACTGTAGATGGCCGACCTCTTCTGGCTATGAACCGACGAAACGCTTGAATGAAGCATTCGGTACTTACGGATGTCACTAGTTCCAAATGTACACATCTATATACAGCACACGTAAACAGTACTACCCAGGTTTTGTTTTTATTTTTGAGAATCAGAGGGCCACATAAATCTATGCCGGTAACTTCAAATGCGAAAGCATCTCGAACTCTGTCTAATGGTAATTGAATGGGTGCAGTAGTTGGAGGTTTTGCTGAAAATCGTTTACAACGGACGCACTGTTTCACCACCGATCTAATTCGGCGTCTTGCACCAATGATCCAGAATTCTTCTCTAATTATAACAGTTAATGCTTGTACGCCGGCATGAGAATGCTTTAAATGGTAATCTCTAATTAAACAGTCAACAATATAATGCTTAGAAGGTAATAAAATCGGGTACCGGAATGCATAAGAATCATCTCGTTCGGTGATTTTCGTTTTTACTCTTCTTAAGCCACTCTGATCTCGTACGGTCAAAAGACCATTGATGGAGTCTCCAGTCTCTGGAAAACTCTCCCCCTGAACAAGTGAAAGAAGTATAATTTTAGATTCCTTTATCTCGGAAGCAGACAGAAAAGGCTCTTTATTTACAATTTTCTTTTGACAATTTTTGATAAATCTCTTTATCCAACCTAAAACTCTTAACATTTTTGAAAATTTAGAGAACTTCTCACACCACTTAACTTTATCCGCTTTTGTAGTTATACTAAGATTTACATTTAAATTTATGCCTTTCCTGCGCTCTGAAAAAACTAAAGTTTCATTTGGCTTAACCTCTAATTTTGGCCAGCTATCTCTAGGGTCTTTGAGCCAAACAGGCCCTCTCCACCAATTTAATTCGAAAAACTGAAGAGGGGAACAACCACGAGAAGGTAAATCAGCTGGGTTAGAATGACCCTGTACATATGACCACTGATTTGCTTTAGTGAAAGCGCAAATTTCCTTCACGCGATTGCCCACAAAAGTCCCCCACGCATCATTTCTTTGAATCCAAGATATGGCCGTGGTGGAATCGGTCCAAAAATATTTCGGGATGTCATCCAATGTAAGAGCTTCTGTCACATATTTGGAAAGACGCACGCCCAAAAGACAGGCCATAAGTTCTAGACGGGGAATAGTAAGTTCTTTTAAGGGTGCGACTCTTGACTTAGCCATTACAAAACTGACTAATGTTTCTTCTTTAGTTTCGCATCTCAAAAATATTACCGTGGCATAAGCATGCTGGCTAGCATCACAAAATACATGAAGTGTCCAGGAACTTCTATCTCCAAAACCTATACGTCGCGGTATTCTCAACTTATTCAAAATTTGTAATTTATTATACCACCTCGAAAATTTACTTTTGATACTATCTGGTAATGGAGTATCCCAGTCTGCTTTTATCGCCCAAATTTCCTGTAGCAGTAACTTTGCAGGCAATAAAACAGGTGTCAAGAAACCCAAAGGATCAAACATTGTCTGCGTTACTGACAAAACCTCTCTTTTAGACAAATTATCCGAAACCAATACAGTCTTAATTTCAATATAAAGGTTATCTTCTATTCTGTCCCACATAATTCCTAAAACTGGTACAGAATTCTCCATTGTGGACTCAGTGCACAAAGTACTTTGGGTTAGTTCCACATCTTTTTCTACTGGGCCATAGGTCCACATACGTAAGTCCATTTTTGCTTCAGCTAATATTTCAGTAGAAGATTTCACAAAATTCACAAGCTCCTTTTCGTTATCAACAGAAGTCACACAATTATCAATATAAAAGGATTTATTTAATTTCTGAGCAATAGAACTTTGTTCCTTTGGTACTTGTGCCAAATGAACTGAAATAACCGCTCCTAATAGAAAAGGGCTAGACTTTACTCCAAAAACTACCCTCGTATGGCGGAAAACCTTCAGTACATTATCTTTCTCCCACCATAAAAATCTTAAAAAGTCCCTATCTTCTTTCCGTAATTCAATCTGTAAAAATGCACGCCGGATATCAGAGGTTACGCCAATGCATTTTTCTCTAAATCTTAACAAAATTGAAGGGATTTCTTCTATTAAATTTGGTCCTTTTACTAAGTAATCATTAAGGGAGGGCGATCTATTAACTTTACATGATGCGTCAAAAACAGGTCTTATCTTAGTTGAGACACTGTCTGGTTTAAATACTGGGTGATGCGGTAAGTAGTGCCCTTTATAATTCAGTTCATTGTCTGGTACTATTTCAATTACACCCTCCTCCATCCATTCATTAAAAATTCTATCATATTCTTCATATTTATGTAAAGACTTGAGTTTTCGGGTGACACTGAACAATCTTTTTTCTGCTACATGACGATTTGATGGCAATTCTGCGTTATATACTAACCAAGGTAATCCGACACAATAACGACCATCTTCGTTTCTGGAAAGAGAGTTTAAAAATTGTTCGTGGGCAATTTCTTCCTCAGCAGCGTTAGTTGAATTCTGGTGAGCATCTAATATTCCGATCGTTTCTAAACTCCAAAGATCGGAGATTTTAAAGTCGTGACCCACTAAACTTGCACACAAAATGGAAGCATCTTTATCTTTGTGATTAACAAATTCCTCCGATACACCACAAACTGTCCAACCAAGTTTCGTACAAACTGCTGTTAGTCCTCCTTTTAATTGTTTTACTGATCCCGTGAGAATTTTTCCATAAATATCACTACCGATGAGCATTTCTATTTTTGGACAATCTGCTCCCAGATCCGACAACCAAATGTTGTTTCGTTTTAATTCTTTTAATATCGGACCCTTGGGTACCCGAGGTATATCCCCACATATTATGTCTTGATCTAAAAATTCAAATTCTAGATCTGAATACTTACGCGGACTGGCTGAACATAATTTTACCCAAATATTTGTTATGCAATCTTTGCCTCTGTTCTGGCACCTCCAAATAAAGTAAGAGCAACATTTTCTTTGGAAATAATTGGTAACCCCAATTCAGTGGCTAATGATTTCAAAATATACGATTTCTGGGAACCACAATCTAAGAGTACTCTAACATCTTTATGCTTTTTGACACCAGCTACTCTTACGCATAAAGTCATTAAAGCTACGTCAGCGGTACAAGTTTGCCTGGCTGTAGCCGTATGTATGTTGTCTATTTCTGATTTTTCTGTAGGAAGTTCAGTTTCATTATTAATGTCCGGACACAAAATAACTGAGTGTGATTTACCACAAGCAAAACACCTAACAAACTGTTTACAGAACTTTGCCATATGATTTGGTTCCAAGCATTTTAAACAGCATTTTTTCTCCTTTAACTTTAGAAATCCTTTCATTAAGAGATAATGAACGCGCATCGTAACAATTTTTACTATCATGCATTTTACCACAAAAAATACATGCATGTTCTCTGGTTGTAAGAAAACCTGTGGCAGTGGGAACATTTCCCTGTTTCTTAAATTTAAATTTACCTTTTGTTTCCCTCTTTGCTTTATCATGATATCCTTCTTTACGACTAACACCATCGAGTCCATTACGCGCCAATTTTAATCTCTCCTCACCCTCCACTTCAGACTTTAAAAATTTCATTAAGTTGGTAAGGCGAGAAAGATCAGTTCCTTCAGGCTGTTGTTAAAGAGCGAACTCCTTTGCCACGCCTTTAAAACATCCTCTGTGAGACACGATTCCACCATCGGAAATAACCACGATGTGTTTTCGCTCGATTTAAGACCTAAAGACTCTAAGGCTCTCAACTGAGCTTCAATTTTATCATACAGTTTATCAAGAGGTAATTTATCCTTTTGATCTGCCTTCACATTAGAAACAATTAATTTAATTAGTTCCCTAACATACACTTCTACTAATAATTCAGGTTTCCCAAAACGTTCCTTCAAAGCTAAAACAGCTTTATCATAATTTTCCGAAGTCACCGGATAGCTTTCAATGAATTCTTTAGCACGTGATCCGGGCTTCATACACTGAATCAAATAGGAAAATTTGTCACTTTCATATAAATCAGGGTCAGTGTGAATTTTCTCAAACTGCGACCAAAACGGTAAGCCAATTTATCAATTCCCCATCAAACTTCTTAAGTTCGATTTTCGGAAGTCTATACTGTTTAATCTTACTACAACAAATACCAGCACCATCATTTGGTCTTGTTTCTAAATTGATTTCATCTGAAAATTGCAATTTTTCATTAATTTGCCGAGTTAGTGTTATGAAATCATCAGAATACACCTCGCGACTTTCGATTTCTTTAGTAACATCATCCTCTAAAGTTTTCCCGTCTTCAGCTAACAAATCAAGAATTTTATCATCTACATTTTTTATATCTGAATATACATTTTGTAGTTTAGTAAGTTTATCTCGTACTAAATCTACAGAAAAATCTTCTTTTACTAACTCCGTTTTTTAAAATATTAGCAGTTTTTGCAAAAGAAGTGCGTAAACCTGCCCGTTTAAGTTTCAGAGCCTTTAAAGCTTCCATAGTTAACTTTCAAAATAAAACAAAACTGCTTTACAAAAAATAGTTTCGAATTTAAACTTAATTATACTTTAATACATCAAAAACTATCTATAACCATTAAAATTTTTTTTTAAAGTTTATTTCTTAAGAGTCCTGTCACGGGACGCCACTTTTTGTTATTACTAAAACATAGTCTTATCATTAAATATCATTAAAAATAAAAATACTTCCTTCACTCATCCCAGATACCGAGCAATCCAGAAAAACTAAAGACAAAACTTGCTCACTTACCTGGGTAGTGTGATGTTGAATCTGTAATAAAAACTCTAATATGTTGATTTATCTAATTCTATTCTCTCTATACTACAAAATATATACATTTTTTAACAATTGTCGGGAAATTTTTCTGGTTATTACACTTAATCAGTTCACGTCACGAGGTCGAAAGGGGAAAACCCTTTTTTTCTTCCTACTTCAATGACAGCCAACGCCATCTGTGTCTCGTACATCAAAATGAAGAGATTTGTTTTTAATATTTGTTAGATACAGCTAATCAGTTTCACAACACAGTCGCAAAGGAGGAACGCCTTTAGAACGGGGGAGGGGGCGATTTTCCGTTCACAAGCCTGTTTTTAGCCAAGGATTATTGCATGCATATTAACTTGTCTGTAGGTTCATCGGCAAGCACACCCATGGAGCGAAATTTTCTACTGAATAATATCTTCATATTCTGATAGGATTGTACATATATCGTTAAGGCAAACTATTGCTGTACAGTCTACTTACTTCCATCTTGTCCTAATGAAAAATATAGCATTAGACGTCGTTTGCTTGATTCTCAGTGTTAAAAATCATCTACCTAGTCA